GAGTCAACCTATTCTGTAATTCTTACCGAATAAGAAGCAATGAATGGAAACTAATGAAGGAGAGAACCAACCAGAAGCTAAGGAGAAATTTTCTGACAGAACAATTAATCAGTGGAACGATTTTCTCCAGAAGTTGTAGAGCAAGTAAAAGTAAAAACACTGCAGAAGTAAAAACACTGCAGGTTTTTGAGAAGAATTTGGACAACCATTTATCTTAATGGTTTCCTGCTTAAGCAGGGGGTTGGACTAGAAGACTTGCAAGGTCTCGTCCAACTCCAACTGATAATTTATTCTGTTATCACATTTATTTAGCATCTTTTACTATTTGTTCAAGTATTACTATTAACTAAAGCATACGTTTCATGGCTCTTTCATTCATAATGATATCTAATTTCATTTGCTTGCAAATATTCATAATCTCTGCTCCTCAAAATCAGACCACCTTCATATAAGTAGCTTATATTTTTAATTACTCTTAGATTTCCACAAAAATATACACAAAAATATTTACTTTCTTCAATGTCATTGCATTAATTCATTATTTAATTCATTGTATTTCGTTCGTTTTTCATACATTCAAAGTCACAATGTTTCATAAGCCGGTCTCTATTGGATGGGCCATAGGTATTATTCTCTGCCACTAAAAATTGGCTTGGTTCAATCATGGCTTTCATGTTGTACTTTTTACAGTAATTAGGTAGAGAATGTCTGTACTAGGATGCAGGTTTAGTTGTAGACAGGTCATATGTAGTATTTTCTCTTAATGGTAAAAAAAACCCACCTTCAACTGATTCCAAGAATTGGCTCAGATTGGATCCATATATCCCTAGGAATAATCAGAAATGTTATTTTTATATTTTTATTATTAGATTTATAGTTCATCTTTAGTTTTTACAACTCAAAGTGGAATAATATTCCTGTCTCATATTATACCTACAGTAACAATCCTGTAAGGTAATTAGATCTGAGAAATATTTCTTTTCCCAAATCACCCAGTCAACTTTAGAAATCATAATCTCCAATGTTTCTCCAATATTTCAACACTTTAATCAGTATGCCACACTGACTTATAAGAGACAAGGTTACATTTTTCAGAAGACATTTTTCTGATATTTTCTTTTACATTTTAATCAACATAAGAATTAAGAATACAGAAGATTTTTCAGTATGTATTCATAATGCTATGGTTTGGGCACCATTTTCTTCACCTATATGCAAGGTATATATATATACCTATATAAAGGACACAAAATCACTGGTAACTTGTTATGGAAGTAGAGGAAAATACATCATTAAGAGACTATCTGCCTTGTACAAATGGTCATGAAATGGTCCAGTTTCTTTGTTAACAAATAAGATAGAGAATTTTGGAAAGAAGTTTCCACATACTGGCTATGTCATGCTTTTATTTATTTAAAAAACAATTGTTTCTCTTTTCAAAATGGTCTGTTCTGTATTTATTCTTTTCTAAATTCAGGAATCAGGAGTTTCATTTTTGTAATATAATGTTATATAGATAAAAGACAAGTAAAGAACACTTCTCAGTCAAAAGCTGTGATACAATTTATGAAAAGAAACAAAGCTGAAGAAGTATGCAGGTACAGCAATAAAAACAGGCAGGATTGTACTGACTAAAGAATGCAAAATATGCAATCAAAAATATAAATATTTCTTTACCACAAGACAGATGTAATTCAGTATATACCTTCTTAGCAGAAGGAAGAATCACAGCTTTTGGAAATTCAGTGTGAGTTTATATATATTTTTAATTGGCCACTTGGGAGATAAAACCTCTCAACAATAGCTCCTCCTCTGAATAGAGAAAGAGAACCAACAGCTTAGCAAGTCCTTGGCAAAGCAAAACAGAATCTGTTTTAAAGTCTGGTATAGCAGATGGTAAACAAAAAAAGAAAATATGATGAAACTTGAAGCAAAGCCATATTCATAAGGGATCAGATGAGGGTTCAGAGTTTGCATGCTAAAAATTCCCCTTTACATCTTTACATCAAAAGATAATTTGGTAAATGTAAAAGAATGTTTTGCAGATAGTTTCAAGGCTAAATTCTTAGCCTCCCACCTTTGAAATTTACAAGTGACATGCCAGAGAAACTAAAGGAATTATTCAATAATGAACACACCACAGAATATTACTATTCACTCCCAACTATAACAGGATAGTAAGACCAATTGTACAGTCCAAGTCAGTATATGTTAAGTTTAACCTCATATTGGTCCTGATTGCTGTATATCAATTTGAAGATCAACACAGCAATTATTAGTATAGAAATGAAGAATTTGACTCAAAAAGTTCAGAAGCTATGCATGATCTGGGATGTCTCTGAACTGGTCGAACAGTTTCACTTGGGGGACAACCGTTGCATCTTACCTAATTGCTGCCAAATTCTTTAATCCATTTTCTTTAAATCATTCCTCTTCTCAGGTAACATTCAATAGCTTCATACCTGTATTTGGCTCCACTTACATTTAAAAAGGAAATAGAGATTGTAGCAATCTATCTAGAGCAGGGGTATCCAACTCAAGGGCCAGGGGCCAGATCCGGCCCGCTGGGTGCTTAGATCTGGCCCACTGAGCCTCCCTGGAAGCAGCGAAGGACCAGCCCATGGTGCCTCTGCCAGCAAAAATGGAGTGGCCCTCCCGAGCTCTGTTTTCTCTGGCAGAGGTTTGCAGGAGGCCATTGTGGCTGAAAACAGAGCTTGGGTGCCCATTTTTGCTGACAAAGCACTCGGTCCAGCAAAAATTGAGCTCCCAGAGGGCTTCAGGAGGTCGCCACAGCTGAAAACAGGGCCTGGGGGGGCCACACACACACACACCCAAGCTCCATTTTCACTGGCAGAGGACTGCAGAAGGCCGTTGCAGCCAAAAATGGAGCTTGGAGCCCATTTTTGCTGGCAGAGTACTTGGGCCCCCATAGGTGCCCCTGACACAAGTGACTTCAAACTGGCCATGCCCACCCTGGCCTCACCCTCCCCAGTACCCAAGGTCAAAAACAAACCTGATGAGGCCATCAATCAAATTGAGTTTAACACCCCTGATCTACACTGAAAAATATGACATAAACTTTGTTTTTTAAATTATATTCTAAAAATTCAACAAAAGGCTATTTTGATTGCCAACCTAGACCAAATTCAAAAGAAAAGTTGTCAACAGAATCACCATGCCTGTGTAGTCAAGAAAAATACATTATTGTGATAAATTAATTTTCTAAAATTAATTAATTTTAATTAATTAATTAATTGACTTAATTACCATATGTCATGGTATACTATATACAGTACCATTACAAATAATTTGGCTTTGATTAGAGCTCTCCTTGGAAGCTCTATTAAGATAAATATTGAAAAACTTCCATTGAACTACTCATGTCAAAGGATTCTTTGTTCTGAAAGATACCATTGCCGAGAATAAATCTATGAAGCTCTAATGAAGATATTAGAATTGAATTGTTTATTCAATTGCTATTCAAATGATAGCTGACAATAATATGTTTTCCTAACCAGCCAGCTAAACTTTTTTTCTATTGTTTTCCTTATGGATTTCTAAATTTGGGTTCCATTGAGATAATTTTTTTATTTTTGTCAATACTTCAGCTATTATATCCTTTCATGTGTTTTCTTTTTAAATTCACTAGAATTACCCTTACAAAATTCCTTAAAAAGTGAAACTCATAAACTGTTCATCTCTCCCATATACCATTAAAATAATATGGATTCCCATCCTTAGAATAGCTTCTGTGTTTTTAAAACAAATACTTGTAGACAAATGTAAGACATTATAAGAAAAGAGTAATGTAAATAGTAATGTAAGAAATCAAATTTAACTCTATATTAAATGCCACTATGTCTTAACGATTTTAAGTTGGGTTCAACTATCTCAAGAACTCTGGAGTCCCAGTTTCTGTCAATCAGAATAGACACCTGCAGTCCTAATAATGTAGACAGAGTCCTGTGGGAGCCTCAAATAGTATTGTGTCTACCAAATCGGGAATTGCTTCTGTCTGATAGCTACAATTAAAAATAAATATATGGAGAAATGAACTCTACTCAATTGCAGTCAGTACAGTAAGTGACTTCCTTTGTTTTAATTTAATTAGACTAAGGAAGTAAGTGATCATGAGACTCTTTTATATTATTAATTTCACTCAGATTTCTGACTGCTTGTCTTGGATGTAATCTAATGTTTAGAATTAAAGCTTGTAAGTAATACTTCATTAAGCCACATGCTTCTATTCATAGCCACCAATTGAATGGTGGCATTATGAAACATTAATTTCGTAATTAACAGTACGAAAGAGTTCCATTCTGTTCATAAAATTATTAGAATACTTTGTCACATCAGAACCACAGTCCTATGTCCCTATGTCCCAATCAGTTACTTCTGTAAGCAAGAAGTTACGATAATAGTCCTCTTGGACCATTGCTGTTTTCAGTCACTAATGATTAGTGGTATTCTTGCGCTGAAATTGAAAGTTATACTTAAAATGGAAAGCTTAAAAAAACTTGTATTATCACTTTATATCTATATTATGCTGAGTGGTATAAACGTTTCTTTGATTGCTTTTTGTTGGCAGGAAGATGGGGTTATTGTTTTCACCCTTTGTATATTGGGTTTTATTTTTTGTAAGCCAGCTAGAGTCACTGAAAGTGAGTGGGTGGCCTTATCAATTAAACAAATAAGTAAAAATAAAATGCATTTATAACTAAATGTTCTTGTTTTCCTACATTTCTGTTTTGTTTTGCATTGTGGATTTTTTTTAACTAGAAGCCTAAGTAAAGGGAGGTATGTAATCTGTTCTGAAAATCTTTCCAGTTGAAGAGTGATTATAAACAGTACATTCAGTAAAGCTATCATGATTCATCACTTATACAGGGACTTATTCTCTATAAATCCATCTTTTTCTAAATGAAATTCCTCATAATCTAAACTCTATTTTTAATGTTTTGTTGTAAAATTTACTTCTTCTCAACCCATTCTACATCCAGGCAAGAGTTCTGGGGAAAGAAAGCACCATAACTGGAAGAAGGATGCAATCATTGGTTTTTATATGAAAAGGTACAGAAGGTTACAGAAGTTCTTTTCTGTGAGGACATACCCCGGCGCTTCTGATTCCAAATATGACGAAAGCTGTAAAGAATGCTGCTCAGAAGCTGTATGTATATTCAAAATCTACTTAATGTACACATAGTAATTCCTCATAACGTTGTGTGCTTTTTCCCCAGAGTCTCAGTACAAACATATCAGTCTAGATATATTCTAAATATTTTTGCTTGTCTTGTTTATTGATATTTATTGTTATTATTTATTCTTCCACAAGCAAATGAATGTGGAACCTTCAACTTTCCCCACAGTAATTTTCTATCTCATGCTGTGGTTTGAGTTGGGTTGAGAAAAAGTGACTAAACCAAAATCATTCAATCACCTTCCAGGGCTACAAATGGAATCGAACCTTGGTTCTCTTTTTCTAAACCAGCATCTTAATTACTATTCTATATCTATATTTAATTCCTGGAAAAAAAACCTAATGCCACCAACAAAGAGTTTTCTAATTTTTTGTAAATGAGAATATTTTTACACTGATTATGGCAATAAGCTCTGCAGACTTGAGAAGTCTAATGCAATTTGATATTAGAAGATTATTTTTATACAACATACACATGGAGAAATACATCTACAACACACACAGAGAGATAGAGAAAGACAGAGACACACAAAGAGAGAGTAATCTCCTCCTTTCCTTTGGAAAGTAAAATACAGTATACTAATGGAATGTGGCAAGAGGTTATGTCATGTTACATTATGTTGTATCATAAACAAACTGTCCATAGTACAAATAAGAGAAATGAACGCAATAATAAAAATAAGTCATTATTAATTTAAAATCAAAATAATACATAAATAATTCCTACAGACCTATCCTAGATGTATTTTAAAAGTTTTCCATAATAACTCTATTTTAATTTGCTTCTGGAAGGCCAGGGTCAGGGAAAGTCTAGCTTCTGGTGGAAAATTATTCCATTGGATGGGCAAGAAGCACTTACTCATAATCTCAATCTCCTTGATTTCACAATTTCACAAATTCATCAACAATGAGATGACCATACTAAATAGAATAATTCTTTTGCAATTAGATAATAATAAAAACTGGACAGATATATTACCGGAGAAAACTTTACATTTTCCATACACTGTAGATATTAAATTATCTTATCTAAGACTGATTTAGGGAAGACTGTTTAGAGTAATCCGTTTGTGGCACAGAATAAACCTTGTAATGGCAATGGAAGTTTATGGGATTAAAGAGAAAGTAATAAAACAGGCTAGGAAGGTGGTCATGTTTGTTCTGAGAAATTTAGTGGTATCTTGGTTTTTGGGGAGGTATAATGAATTGAAGACATTGATTAAGACAAGATATTGATCATTGATCAAGACAAAGATAAAAAAAATTGGTGATAGACCCATTCTTTGGAACGTCTCTGAATAAAGAGAAGACAAGAGATTACACATATGTGGTCTGGAGAGCTGCTGTCCATGAAGAGACTTCAGGTTTTCTACAGGTTTGAGTGCCAGGAGACAACAGGGTTAGCCATCTTTTCAAGGAAACTAAGTTATGAAACAGCAAAAAGCTAAATATGATTTTGATGCTGGAAAGTTATAAAGAGAGTGATCTGGATTTTTTTTCCTATTGTGTTACAAAAAGGAACTTGTTAACGTCTTGAAGATCTCTGTGTGATAAGACAAAGAAAAAATGAAAAGAACTCAAATCCTATCACACTATTTGAATGAACTAAAGATTAAGGCTATTAGAAGTAAAAAGGAGCAAAATAAAATTGATTTATTTGATCATAGTTAAAATAAGATATATTCTTACTTCTGTTTACATTTTATGGATTTTCTGTTGACCCCAGGAATGAAAAAATGAGCTGTAAATCAATATTCTATATTTATTGTTACATGTTACATGAAAGGCAAAATACTCATGTATAAAATATATGGGATAGGAATTAGGTGATATAGTGTTTATGAAGGTTTTTAAAAACATATATTTCTATTAAAGAATAAAAGCAATCAGTTTATTAGCACATGGCGAATATAGTAAAAAATGACCAAAGAAGATATAGAAATATGATTGGCAAAGAAACACAAATATGATTCATAATCATTCTCTTTTCTAAATCTCTCTGATCATTCAAAACATTAAAAACTAATTTAAAAGCTAGTAAGAATTCAAATTCTCTTTAGAGCCTGAACTTTCAATTATATCTAATAAATAATAACTAAAATCTGAAAGCACAATTTCTTTTAAATGCTCATTTTATTATAAAATAATGATGCCCAAAAATATAGTTTGTATGCTTCTAAAACGCTCATCTTCCCTTTGCCAAAATTTTCTTTCTGTAGCCACCTGAGGATACCATGTTTTAAAATTCCATGAATTCCATCATGATTTTGTGGCATCTAATGCCCACTATCCAAAGTAATAGTTGAGATTAATTTAAAATATATGTACTTTCAATGCTTTTCTTTTAAAAATAAAATCTAATGTTGTATCAATACCATACAGTGAGCCAATGCTTTGGAAACTGTTATTTAATTTTTAAATAGCTTGTCATGTTTACAAGGGGCTATTGTTTCAGAAAACTATATGCTCTTAGGCTCATGAAACTAGTTTTGGAAGGTAGCCAGAGCAAACTCACAAAAATAATGCTGAAAAATGAATGAAATTATAAGTCTGAAATTTGCTTTTATGTCAGATGCCTTAATTATTCACTGAATTGTCAACGTAATTTATGTGTAAATTAGAAACTAAAGCCTGTTACAGAACCTAACACTAAATTTCTTTCTAAATATGTATTAGACAGTATGAAACTTCTTTAAATAAATGGCAGTGTGAATTACTGAGAAAATTAGAATTAGAATTCTAATACATAAAATACTAAATTAAAATAATTAATAATAGTTCCTTAACACAATATTTTCTTCCAAAATGATTTATGTGCACTCTAGTTGTAAACTTTCAAACAAACTTCTAAAATAAGTCAGTGAGCGTGTTTATGAGTTATAATAAGGGTGAGAAAGGACATATAACCAAGATTACCATGTAAATCCTTAAGAGAAATATTTCCGTCATTTCAAGGACAAATCTACATTAAATTATATGTAAACATCTTAATAAATTCCCCTTTTAAAAAAACCCTATATATAATTTAGCATATTTATTATGTTAAAACTGTGTTCAAATATATCCTCTAAAGAATGGAAATTTTTCATTGACTGTTGTAGTATTCCAAAGCCGCTGTTCCCAAATCATAACCCTTGCCTTTAATTGGCCTAAATTTCATATTTCAATTTGGGATTTACTTTTTTCTCATTTTCTTTCTTTTTTTTATTTTTATTTATTTAAAACAATACATCAAAAAAAAGAAATAGTCAAACAAATGATCGCGACAGGAACTTTACATGATATTTACACTTTCTACGGTATGTAGGCTTCAGTCAGATTTAACATATATTAAACATAATCCTGGTTATACTTGACTTTTTGGGCATCTGTTGTTCAACCAAACGTACCATTTGTCCCAACATTGGAAATATACGGAGTCCTTTTGATCTCTCAATGCTTTAGTCAGTTTGTCGGATTCCGCATAATCCAAAATTTTCTCCAAAATCAAATCTTCAGCCGGCAGGTCTTTCCCCTTCCAATGTTGAGCGAAACATATTCTTGCTGACGTGGTGATAAATACACACAGACACCATATATTTGTGCCTATGTTGTCTGGCCTGATGTTCAGTAGATAGTACTCTGGTTTCAGAATTAGGTTATAACCTGTGATTTCCATGATCCATGCCTGTATAATTTTCCAGAATTCAGTCGTCCTGGAGCAGATCCACCACATGTGGAAATAGGTGCCAATCTCCCCACACTTCCAACAGTCTGGTGAGAGATTTGAATACATTTTAGAAAGACGAGCAGGTGGAAGGTGCCATCTATACAGGATTTTGTACACATTTTCTTTGTATTTTTGTACTTTTTTCTCATTTTCTTTCTATTTCAACAATCAGTTTTAATCAACAAAATCAATAAGATTTATGGATTCGCTTTTTCATGGCTACAAATATAAATTCACCACAGTACAGAAGAAAGTCAATCATATAAGGAAAAGTCTGGGAATTTTTGCATCAGCCCAAAGAGAGGATATCTAAATACATATTTACTAAAGAATATTATCATCATGAAAGAGTTGAAGGCCAGTACAAAAAGTGAACACAATGACATTTTGTTTTATTACAGTAACAGGGAGACATAAACAACTTGCCAAACGATAAAAATGGAAACCAGATAATTATGGTTTAGATGTCAGAACTAAAATTTGTGGGGGGAAGATTTAATTTTCAGCTCAGTTACCATTGAGGAAATCTGTTGAAGACTAAAAGACTACTTTCACAAAGTGGGGTGCCTAACTGATCATCAGTTCCAACTTTCTCACTTTCATCTCTGTGAGCCTGCAGAGAGGAACCGATATCTGTGCCAATCACTGGCCTGAGGGTCTGCCCTGAAAGGGCGGCAGTTGGTTAGCCTCAAGACAAGTGGTAAAAGACTGCAGCCAGCTCTGCAGAGACAAAGCAGCTGGCAGGAGTGAGTAAAAAAGGAAGAAACTTGTGCCCATCTGCCGGGAAGAACAGTGACAGGATAACCATAACTCTAAAAAGACCTTCCCAATATGGGATGCCTGAAAAGGAAAGAACAACAACAACAAAACCCACCTCCAATTACTGCTTAAGACAATTTATTAATCTAGAGAACTCCTGACAGAATGTCTATTCAGTCTTTATCCAATGTATTCTGCCTAATGGGAACCTTATTATGTTTGACACTGCAAGTAATTACCCTATGAGAATTTTTGCATATGAGAGAAACAAATGCTTTAATTTTCTGCAGGTGTCTTGCACACATTCAGTGTGCCAAAGAATGAGGTGTGCATTCTTGTTTTCCTGTAGTGATTTCAAATTAGAATGGTTCATGCTTGAGGAAAATGTCCTCAATGTCAGGAAAAGATCATAACATATTATTTATCTGACAAAAGTCACAAAAGCCAAGAAATTGCTTTCACAAAACACAGTGAGAAAAAAAATAAAACATTGAGAATAGTATTAATTTACAGATAGTTTTAATGTCCTTTTTTAAAAGGGACTGTTTCAAAATGCTCCTTATTTCATAAGCATCTGTTTCTTGGTTATACAGTTCAATCATTTTCAGGGAAATCATTTCCTATTCAGCTAATTATTGATGTTTATTTTATTAAAAATTTGTCTGGTGAAAAGTATATTAGTTCTTAGTTCCAGAAGTGAAGTATTCATTGGAAAGAAAAACGACAGTGATTCCAAATCCACTATCTTTTGTATTTTTTAATTTAAAATATATTTGTTATGGGGGAAAGAAAGCAGAAGAAAGTACGTGTATTTCATAGTGAAGTAACTCGACTGCAGCTCAAATGTCTGAAACAGATGGTGGAACAGTTTAAGTCTGCCATCCAATAGCAAGTAGATTTTACAAGGCTTTCTTGTTCTGTTATTAAAACAAGATGTAAAATAAAGCAAATTGTGTTACTTGAAAAAGGTGCTGTTTCTTGTTTTAGTAATTAGGTTATTTAAATTACCAAGAATACAGTATATCACATTCACAATTATAACAATGGATATACTTTAGACTGAAATACTTTAGACATTTCAATGATTAGGAATGATCAAATTGTAGGTTAGGCAAAATTATTAGGGCTATTTATATTTCAAAATTTATTCAGAAAGCTTTGAACTCCTGCCATACTCTTTGTAAATGGAGGATAGAACTGAAGAAAGTGATAGGCAAGGCCAGAGTCAAATATGATAAAATCACAAATTTCTTTTTAAAATTTCACTACCTTAGTTTTCTTTTGTAAACTGTATTTTATTTGGTGTCACTAACACCAGATGATTCTAGTAGGCTTATAGTACACTAAACAATATAAAAACAATTAGAAATAACAAAAAATGAACTAGAACAAAAGAAAAACAACAAAGGAATAAAATATATCTAAAAGCATGAATGGTTGAATTGTTTATGAGAAGATGAGACAATTAGTAAAGATTAGTATAGCCTGATAAATGGTTCTGAATGTGGGAAAATGGTGTTTTTTGTTTTTTTTTTCAGTGTCAAAAGATGGTCTTGGAGGGGAAAGTGCACATAAAAGAAAAGAAAAAAAGAGTGAAAGAAGCAAAAGTTAAAGTAAAATGATTGCGGAAAAAGAAAGTTAAAGACCAGTATACAATTTTTAGAATACAAGTAAGTCTTCCAAAATAGAATTGAAAATACATGAAATCAAGCAGGATGTGAATTTGCTTAGAACAGCAAAAATCCCACAGAATTCCATAAAAATATGAAAGATATGCTTGATGTAATGAAGAAGTATATACATATAAAAGAATGACTACAGCAAAGATGTATTGCAATATGTGTAAAAAGAAAACAATCTTTCTAAAAAATGTATTTGATGATATCACGGAATATTTAAGAATGCAGCATTGTTTATATGAATAAAAGCATAAGAATGGGGTAATATTAAGGAATATTTGTGGATTGTATGTAATTTTGTATACAGACAAAGTCATGTTTTGGGCTGAGAACATGAATGATTAAATTGATCAGTTGGTATAGCTCTGGAAATCAACATATCAAACAGCAAGGTTATGTTTCACAGGAAGACTGGAGCAAATGATTGCAAGTTATACATTCAGACTGAGAAACTGGAATAAAACAAATAGGAAAATGAAAGAGGTCAAAGGAAGCAGAAGATGTGGAAGCTATGGTTGCTTGGGGTTGATAAAATCTTTTAAAAGAGAGTGGTAAGAAGTTTAAAGAACAGAAGCAATGGATAATGTAATGATCTAAGGCAGTGGTGGGTTTCAAAAATTTTTACTACCGGTTCTGTGGGTGTGGCTTAGTGGCCGTGGCATGGTGGGCGTGGCAGGGGAAGGATACTGTAAAATCTCCATTCTTACCCCACTCCAGGGGAAGATTACTGCAAAATACCCATTTCCTCCTGATCAGCTGGGTCTCGAGAGGCGGAGAATAGATGGGTGTGGGGCCAGTCAGAATTTTTACTACCGGTTCTCCGACCTACTCAAAATTTCCGCTATTGGTTCTCCAGAACTGGTTGGAACCTGCTGAAACCCACCTCTGGTCTAAGGACCTGGTGGAAGCAAGGATCATTTTCAAGGCTAGAAATGTACTAGAAATAGTAAATTATTTGGAGAGAAACTACTTTTAGTTTTGTACTACTACTTAGTTTTGTGTTGCTATCATAACCATTTCTTGACTCTGCAAAATATTGCTTACTCCAGAAGGAAATAACACAGTTTGTGTATGTATGTGTGTGTCTCTGTGTGTGTGTGTAATTGGCACAGGCATTTTCACTCTCTCAGACACAACCAAGTGTATAACACAAACATAAAGCCATTTCCAAAATTTATTTTAGTTGGACATGTATTGCCCAAATCAAATCCAGCAAAACAGAACCAGACTGATTGAAACCAAAATGTGATCTCTCGCCCCCACCCCTGTGAAGCTAAAAAAACCCCAATGGCATTCCCTTTTTTGGACAGCTTGTTAAAATGACATTATAAGAGTTGGGGCTATTTAGGAATACTTACGTCATGAGCAAAAACATGTTTAGACAAGAAGGGAAAAGAATATATTTAAACCTGCTTGGAAGCTTTAAAATAAGCCTAATTAACATTTTGGACAAACTAAATGATGCTAATTTGTAATTCTGGCAAGATGCCTCATAGCTTTTTTTTTTTTTAAGTGCATCATTATTTCTTAAAAGTCTTTTCCATGTGAAATGAAAATAGAATGCCTTACTGTTGGGACAGTTTTTTAAAAGGATTTAACAAATAAGCTATAGAAACCAACCCCAAGTTGTTTAGAACTTTGAAGGACAAGCATCAAGGGCATTGTAAAGCATTAAATAAAAGGATAACAGCAATTAACCCCTTTAGATGGGTTTATGCAGTAAGTTGTTTTGTCAAAAAATGGATGCACCCTAGACAGGCTGGCTCTGCAGTAGGATCAAGACCAGATGGAGTTTATAAAAAGTGCATAAAACCCTACATGATATGGATAATGTCTGTTCAAGAGCTATTTTCAGTTTAACAAAGATGATGGAACAAGAGGGTATACATAAAAATTAAAGAAAATCTGATTGGAAACAGATGTTAGGAAACCCCATTTTAATGCAAAGAAACATAGCTGTTTTGAATAGTCAAGAAAGCAAAATTGTTCAGGTAGAAACACTAGTCTCATTCATAAACAACTAAAAGGCAACCTGGGATGTAATGGAGTATGAATGACTAATGGGTCTCATTTAGCCAAGGATTCTAAATTTGCAATTGCCGTGTAATATGTTCAAAAGTAGATTATAGAGGAATTCATAGGTTGAGATGATTGAATTTTTTTCCCAGTCAGCATTTGTTCAGTCAGATTTAGATTTTTTTTTCCTAATCGTCAATAGCTCCTTTATTCGTGAGTTTTCAAAACTACAGAAATTAAATTAACTGTGTGTGTCATTGCTTTGCCTTTTGTATCTTTTTGTTTGTTTATTCTCAAGCTGAAGAAAATAGTATATATCAACTGATTCCCTTAGATGGATGCTTTTTGGGGCAGTGGGAAGACAACTCCACAAGCTTATTACAGTATATATCATTATTTGGGCTTTTTTTTCTTTGTGCCAAATTTTGCATGTCAATTTAAATTGCAAAACTACAAGCCTGGTTTTCTCAGAATTTTAAGTTTACAAATAGCTAGGTACAAAGCTCAGACTAAAGGAAAGCTGCAATTTATAGATATATGCAGATACATATATACATACACACACACACACACATATATATAATATTTTATATATATGCAAACCAGTTACTAAGTCTGCATTACTATTAATCTCAATGTTCCTATTACCCATTTCCTCCCATTTATGACTGTATGACTGTAACCTTGTTGTTGGTATCCTTAAGATTTATATTGACTGTTTGCCTATGACTATCATTAAGTGTTGTACCTTATGATTCTTGACGAATGTATCTTTTCTTTTATATACTCCAAAAGTGTATGCACCAAGACAAATTCCTTGTGTGTCCAATCACACTTGGCCAATAAAAAATTCTGTTCTAAAGAATTCTATTTTAAATATGCCTGCACAATCACAGCAAGACAAAACAATCACAATAATCTCCATATCTATATTTCTTCAGCACAGAACACTGAAGCAAAATGGCTTTCATAACCCACAAATAAAAAAAACACAATCAGGACAGGATACCAAAGCTCAATGGAAAGCAGAACACACAGCTTTATTTTCAATGCTTATTGTAACATTCAACGGAACAGAAATCAAACAAACCAGGAAAAGTAGCTTAGCTTCCCAAGTTCCTTACCCTTTTGCCAGCAATGGCCATAGTAGGCATCTGCATTTTCTTCTCTGTAACAAAGTATTGTGTCTGTCTGCATGAATGTTTCTGCTTGTTCTATTGTGTTCCATGTATATGAAATGAAATGTACTATATGCACTGGGAAGCCCAAAGTAGTTTTCTGTACAGAAATCCATCCCATTTTCAACCCCAACTCTTTCTTTACTACTTTCTTCCTGATGAGCACACAGAGTTCTGAGCATAATTTATTTATGAAATGTATTTCCAACATTCTACTGGGGTGAAAACAACAACAAGTATATTTAAATTAATCTAGAAGCACTAAAACTTTGATTACATGCATAGATGTTAACAAGTTTGCTTAAAAAAATAAATAACAACAAGGAGTCTACTCGATGTTGCTGGCTATTTAGTTGAGAAACTGTTTTTACTTAGAATAAAGAAGGCTATTGTGTCTGCATACCTTAAGTAAGCCTTTACTTTCTCTTGCTAAACCACTTCTCTAAACGAAGGACTTGACCAAACATGACAAGCAGAAAATCTACATGAATCTTTAGCAAGATACTTTGTATTTCAGAATAACTTTAAATTTATAATCAAAGTAGTATGTTAAACAGTATGTTAAACCAAGTTTTTTAAAGCGTTGATCATCTAATCTTTAATCAACACAAAAATGTATTACACTGTATATTTGAGACTATTTGGAAATGGCTCTAATGCTGAGAAAAATGTAAGGAAAGGGAAGAAGAGGACATCCAATACTCACTGGTGAATGCAGCAGTGGGAGGACTTGAAAGAATAGGTTAGGATCGATAATCGTAGAGGAAACCTATCTGTTACCAGAGTCAAAAATGACTTGATGGTACCCAATCAATCAATTTGAGGCTAGCTCAGCCTTTTATTTTACATCATCTCACACCCCAGAAAACAGGGTGTAGCCCCACTAGATAAGCATTTCAAACAAAAAAAAAGAAAGGAAGTCCAGTTGCCATGACTCATCTTCCATGGATCCCTTAAAGCTAGTAGTCCTGCTATAAATGTTTTTCTTTCTTTTCATTCTCCCAATTCTAGCCAAGTTTTTAAAGTCCCTTTAAAAATGAGCTTTCAGATTATTCAATAGCTCTTATCAATAGCTGTAACTATTAGATATCCACATTTATCCAGAGTGATACAATGATGGCATGCATTCTAATTCAGACTGAAAAAGAAAAAGGGAATAATAGTTTCTCACACTATCCAACATAGTTAATATAGAAAAAAATTATAGCTATCATTTGTAACTACTAAAGCCAAACTGTAAACTCATAACAGAAAGTAAAACAATCATTTGATAAGTTTCATTCTTATTGCCTTAAAGGTGACATGGATGTATTTAATAAATACATTGTAGAAAACTGTTTTACTAATACCTATATTCCATATACTTAAAAAAAAAAGTTATAACACAAATTGAGACTGAAGTCTACTGTGTAACATTGATTAGGAAGATGACATTCAGGCCACCATTTAAGAGAAAAAATAAAATCCTTGTTTATGTGTGCAAAAAAAAAAGGATGTTCTTAATTCTATTCTAGTAAAGCAATAGTCTTACTAGAGTATAGAGTAAAGAAGGGATTCAGTGGCTCAGTGGCTAAGATGCTGACCTTGTCGATCGAAAGGTCGGCAGTTCAGCGGTTCGAATCCCTAGTGCCATGTAATGGGGTGAACTCCAGTTACTTGTCCCAGTTTCTGCCAACATAGCTATTCGAAAGCACATAATAAATGCAAGTAGAAAAATAGGGGGAAGGTAACAGCATTCTGTGCGCCTTTGGCATTTAGTCATGCCAGCCACATGACAGAAACGTCTTTGGACAGCGCTGGCTCTTTGGCTTTGAAACGGAGATGAGCACACCCCCTAGAATCGGGAACAACTAGCACATGTGCGAGGGGAACCTTTACCTTTAAGGCAATTGTCAACTAGTTTGCACCCTTGATTGTTCCCAGAAAATTTGACATATAGCATAGAGTCATCAATTTTAAAATGCCTCCAACAAAACACCAGTAATACAAATCTTTTATAATTTCTATTTTTTAATATATAATATTTGTAATGTCAAATATAAATTATGCAAGGTTAGGTTTGTATATAGCCAGGAAAAGCACCATTTTTGGCCAAGAAAACTGGAAAAAAAAATTATAAGCACTCTGGCTCATCCTATCATGATTGCAAAATTGTAGTACTTTTTCACTCAAAAACAGATCATAATGACTTATCTTTTGGGTATAAAGTACCATGTGCAGCATATTTAAGATGATCAGTATAATTAAACTCTGGAGAATATTAAGACCATTGATCCATTTATAATACCATGGTTGCCCTATTATTCATCAATATGCATGATGCAAATATGAAACTATAATGCAATCTAAGTTTAAATCATTCATGCAGAACCAATATTTTGTTCAATCACAGTTTGGTCTTTCGCAATCTGAAACTGACTTGTATATGTATATGTATGCATAGTTGGAAACATGTGGAAAAGCCCTTCATTCTGCAGTGGATATATACCGGTAATCATAATTTTACCCATTGTCTATCCACTACAAACTACAAGTATAAAAAGCATAATAAATATCCTAAAAACCTAGAATAACAAACCCTAAGTGAAGGGAGAATAATATATCCCTTCCCCACAACTATGTAGCCATCTAGACAAGGCTCCTTTTGTTATTTCTGCAAAATGAATGAAGATATCATGCTTTAATCGCAGAAGGATCAGCCTTAGTTACTATTTGGATAGGAGAATACCAGAAGACCTTAGTACTGTTGCCCGGTCTGGAAAGTTAAAAATATTTTTAAAAGGAGGGGAAAAACCCTTTCATATTTATACTGTCTAAAGAAAAAGTCAAAGGAAATGGAAAAGCACTTCCATAATGCAACTATGAAAACTTTACAGATGCTATCTCCAGCTAAAAGATGCTTTCATCTTTATCAAACTCTGAAATAGGAATCATAGATTAAAGAGTTAGGCAGTCTTGAGCAAAAGATTCCTCTATCCTTTGACTAATATATGCTAAGCTGGTTTCAGCTGATGGTATCCAAAGTATAAAAGATCTGAAAGGCAGCAAGATCCCTTTTTCTGGGTTAAGCAAATGCGCTCTATGAAGAAAATAAAAACAGGAAGCAAAATGCAGAGATGAGTATAGGGAAAGAGAAGGGAGGAAGTATTCTTATTTCTTTCCTCCATTCCAGCCATCATCAGAAGGGTTATTCTCAAGTGGCAGCTAAAAATAAAACCCAGGAAGGAGAAGAAGTACTCCTTCCTTTCCTCCTTCCCCTCCAGTTTGTAAGAAAACACACTTGCCACTTGTTTTTTGTCTTTGATGAAAAAAAAAAATAGGGCAAGGCCCATGAATAATACTTGACAGATATATCCATATGTATGCATTATTAGCAATGATGTATGCTGATATTAGAACTAAAATGACAACATAGTGAGAAAAACTGAGAAGAGATAGTGACTAAGAATAAATCCAAAGAGAATTGTATATATGCACGGGAGAAAACAAATTGATACCAGCTGAAAGCCGACAATACAAAATGACAGCCAACAGGAATGAAAATAACTACTCAGCAGCAAGTCTTACTAAACTAAGTCAATGATCATGAAAGGAAATGGAGGATAAGGTAACATGTAATGAACAGCTGCTGGCATCAAATGAAAGTTCAGACTAAGAACTAATCAGAAGTCACCACCCATGTACATCACCATATAGGAAGCCTGTCTTTTCCAACTTTCTTTGTGTTCTTTGACTAGTAGTAGTGAAGCTTAGTTATATCAATGTGCAAGCTTGGGTAATTTAAACAAATGTAATCAATAAAGCGAATATCGGAAACAATGCTTCAACAGAAAGAGGAATAGATTATAATATTGTTGCTTAAGTCTGCTGCATAGTTAGCAGTACAGGAACTTGTACAACTGCCTTAGGTACAATGCATTACTAAAATGTCCAACTTCATGTCTGACGATTAAAATAAATAAAACCTCTAGTTAGTATCATGTAGTGTCTGGAATTCCTCTTGGAAGTGTTCCTGACACTGTATTTCATGGAACATCTTTTGTTGATTTAGACAGTGAAATATCAAACCAGATGTTTTAAAAAAATCACTTGGAGGCGTTAAGAAAAGGAAAGAGACAGTTTTCATTAACAAAGACTACAGCAATGAAAGTGCAGCTTCATATTCATTGAACAGATTATGCTTCGATATATTTCCTGTTTTAGGACTTGGATTATTCCATTCTTTCTTTTCTACTGTAGCTATTTTCTGAAATGTATTAGAAAGTTGAAACATTAGTCCACAACAAGTAGTATAACTGAAATATCTGCAAGATTAGTGTGCAAAATGTTAAGCAGCTAATATACCAGGTTGTGTATATAAAGGTACTAGAGATACTAGAAAAGGCAACAAACCTAGCGGTGAAATCCCCAGGTTCTATCTGGTTCGCTGAACCAGTAGCGCTGGCGGCAGGATGCTCCACCCACCCACTGGGACATCATTACGTGAAGGTTCTGCGAATGTGCAGAAGGTTCTGCGAATGCGCATAAAAGTGCATGCATAGCACGCATGTGCTCCCATGCGCTCTCGTTCCCGAACCGGTAGCGAAGGTAAGTGGATTTCATCACTGAACAAACCTGATCCAAAACCCACATTCACCTTCATTGTTTCATTGCTTTAAATTTCACTGCAATACAAGATAGAATTCTGGATTAGTACTTGAATTACAATAATTTCCTTTATCCAGGAAAATACTGTGGGTTTGTGGGGTGGGAGGATTTAAAGAGGAAGAAAGGAAGAGAGAGGTCAGTAGAAATCCATTCTATCCTATTGCCTGTGCAAGGAAGACAGTACAGGGAGTTTCAGTACATTGTTGTACTATGATATTTGTTTAGAATCCATATACCTTTGTGCTTAACTCACCCAAAGAAATCAATTAAGAGTTCTCCTTTGAGACACAAATGATGAGGCTCAAATTATCATATTTAAGATACATTATGCAAAGATCAAATTCTCTAGAGAATTCTATACTGCTGGGAATTTGGAAGGAAAAATAAGACAACTAGCAGCAGGGAAATGGTTTCTAATTTCAATGATGATGGATACATTGTCAGAATATCTGAAATACAAAGACAAGGCCAGATCATTCTGCAGAATCTACCTACATGGTCACTAATAGTCAATTCTGACTTGAGGCCATCTAATTAATTAAATCAACAATAAAGCCTGTGCTGTGAATGTCAAAAAAAAAATATCATTTCGTGGGTGTCTAAGTGGACAGCTAGGGAAAAGGACATGAACGGGCAGAGTTCTAAGATAAAAATAAGACATGTTTGATCCTTTGTAATAAAT